TATCTCCTAGCCAGGGCCTCCAGCTCCAAGCACATCCTCCCACAGTGAGGCGGGCAAGGTGGCTGTTCTTAAGCCTGGTGGTTAATTCGACTCAGGGAGGCCCTTCCTCTCTAACAAGCCGTCTGGCCCTGCCAACCCCAATGCCCCTGCCCTGGGAGGCTTTGCTCTGCAGGTGCCTGGCTGTGGGCATAGCTTCAAGCCCAGGACTAGCCACGCGCTGGGCAGGGAGGAAAAGCGGGTCCATGGTCATTACCAGCAGCCAGCAGAACCGCTGCTTCCTCCGGTCCCAGCCACGGGGGCACGGCTGCATTAAATATGCATGGCGATCACCTTGTTACTGGGCCGAATGATTGTGTGTACTGAAGGCGAGCCGCCCACACTGTGCTGCCTCGCGGAAAGTTCCCAATTTCCCCGGCTGCGTCGGCCTCCCTGCCTGCTCCCCCCGGCCCCCTGCGGCAGGGGCCTCCCTTGTCACCATGACCGCCCTCTCTGCCTCCCCACCTCTCCCCCAGCCACGGGTCTCCATATGCTCTCCACAGTGTGCAAGGCAGGTGAAAGGCCGTATTGATCCTCTTCTTAAGAGCAGCTGGTCCAGAACTAATCTTAAATCATGCAGCTGCTCTGAAGCCTGAGGCCGCGCTGGACGGGGCTGCGGAGGAGACCGTGGCTGGGCAGGACGGCGCTGAGGCTGCCGGGAGCACAGTCAGGTATGAGAGGGCTGACTAGCCCCAGCCTCCGGCCTTCTTCATGACCATCTGTCCCTTATTCTCCAGACACTGACAAGAGGAAGCCCCTTCCCAGGGAAAGGAGGGTGACAGGTCCGCAGCGTGGACAGACGCCCACACCCACTGATGAGACCGACCCTAGGAGCTGCTTGGCTTTCCAAATATGCAGCTTACACAGACACACCTCGTTATACTGTGATTCGCTTTATCATGCTCTGCAGAATAGGCCACTTACACAGACACACCTTGTGCTCTGCTTTCTCATGCTCTGCAGTTATTGGGGTTTTGGAGTTGATTTTTTTTTTAATAAGTTGAAGGCTGTGGTAACCCTGCATCAAGTTTACCACAAGCCTATCAGAACTGTTTTCCCAAACGAATGTGCTCACTTTGTGTCTCTGCCACATTTTGGTAATTTCAAACTTCTTCATAATGCTATTTCATGTTTAATAACTACCTCTAACACATTGCCATCAAGTCAGAACTGACCCCTAGCTGATCTTCCAGTGAGTTTTCTTTCAGAGGCTGTAAAAAGCATGGGATGAGCTTGGCTATCTTCCTCCCTTGGAACAGCAGGTGGATTCAAACCACTGGCCTTTAGATTGGCAGCGCGACTCCTTAGTCACTAGACTACCAGAGCTTCCTGAATGATTAATTGTTGTTCTATGCTGTCAACTGAATTCTAGTGGCCTAGTGGTAAGATCCTCTATGAGGTGGACTGATTCAGTGACTGATTGAGTAATCGGGATGGGTGTGTCAGAGGCAGTGCGATTGGCACAGGATCGAGCAGAGTTTAGGGCTGTTGTACATCGCTATGAGTCACAAACGACTCAACGGCACATAACAACAACAACAACAACAGTGGTAAGAAGCTGTGCCGCAATCAGGAAAGCACATGGTTCAAATCTGCCGGCTGCTCCGTGGGAGAAAGACAGGCAGTCTCTTCACATGCAATTAACTGCCTCTGAAAAGCCAGCCACTGGAGGGCCGGATACGCTGTGGGTTAGTTCCAACTTGACAGTACACAACAATAACAATATGCCGTGAAGTCAACTGTGACTCACAGTGACCCTATGAACAAGAGGTCCTGTGCCCTCCTCCTCCTCCTCATCTTTGAAACACCAGGGCCCATTAGTACAGTCACAGGGTCAAAGCATCTTACCGAGAGTCCTCGTCCCTTACCCCGACCCTCCACCCTTCCAAGGATCAGCCCCTCCTATCAACATGCCTGAAGTATGTACAATAGAATTTCACTGTCCTTGTCTCCAAAGGGCGCTCGATCTTCACTCTCTGGACAAGCCTGTTTGCTCTCTTGGCCTATTTCATAGACTAAAAAAAAAACCAAAAAATACACCTAAACAAAGAAACCAAATCCATTGGGGTCAAGTTGATTCCGACTCACAGTGACCCTCCAGCGGGTTTCCAAAGCTATAAATCTTAAGGAATAAAGGTTGCGTATCATTGTCCTATGGAGCGGCTGGCAGGTTTGAACTGCCGGAGACACGCACACCATGCCACCACGGCTCCTATTAACAGACCGGAACCGAAACTGTCATGACTAGTTTTATGGCAATTCTTGCTTTATTGCAATGGTCACGAACCAAACCCACAATGACAACAGCAGATGCCTGTACAGCAGTGACTTAAGTCAGGCAAGTAAATTGCAGTAATTACCAATGTTTGTTGACGACCCACTATGTGTTCAGTAGTGTGTGAAACAGCCCTTTTATACAAGTGTCCTCACTCAGTCCTCACAGTAACCACCACAAGTATCATTCCATTTTACAGATAAAGTAACTGAGGCCTAGGACGGTAAGTTCCACTGCTTAGCATACACACCGTTAGGTCACATCTGAAGCGGCCTGGCCCTAGAACTTCACGTGCCCAGAGGACTTAGTGTCCAGCAGCAACCACTCACAGCACGTGGACCGAGAGGACAGGGCAGGACTGTGATGGCCGCTGTCTTTGCTGAGGCATCATCATCCCCCTCATCCCCCTCTAAGCCTGCTGGGAGCTCAAGGGCTGCCAGGAGAGCCTGGGTTAAGCCCTGCTGGCCTCATGTCCTCTCTCCTCAGTCTCCTTCTCTCTGTCCCCAGTCTCCCTGCCTGTGGTTTTGGGATCCAACAGCCTTCCAATCCCCTCCTCGGAACAGCCATCTAGGAAGTGTTTCTTCCCTTCTATCCAAGTTCTTCTTCCACCCCCTTTTCCCTCCTGTTACCCCCATGGGCAGCCCTGCCGATGTCCCCAGGAGGTACTGGGGAGCTGGGGCCTGCACACTCCCATCTCATTCACTCTTAGTGAGGCTGTCCATGTCTCCTGGTTGATTGTCTCTATACTTAGGTCAGGAGCTGACTGACCCTCATCAGACTGCAGGCTCTGAAGTCAAAGGCTGTGTCTCCACACACAGACTAGGGGTCACTCAGGGCAGGGGCTGTGCCTCCCTCTCTCCTCCCAGAACTACCTGAAATCAGGACACCCAGTGCACAGGGCCACTGGCTGAACACCTGTATTCCTTACTGTCTCATCTCGGGCTGTGGTTGAGGGGAGCTCCGGGGTTCCTGGTCTGTGTGGGACACGGGGAGAAGGGCTTCCAGGAGAGCAGGCTGAGGGGTCAGAGATGAAGCATTGAGACCCACGTGGAGTACAGAGGAGGGAAGCACCCAAAGGCCTGCCTTCCTCTCAAAAGACAGAGTAGATGAGAGGCCTCTGAGGAGCCAAGAAGTACCTAACAGGGGACTCGGGGTTGGAAAGGGGGTCTGTGACCACAGCTGCTCATCCTTGGTTTCTGGTCCCCTTCCCCAGCCAGGAGAAACTAGTCCCAGAATCGGAAACTCTGGGGGAGTGTCCATTGCATAGGCTCCTGGTCCACGGCTACCAGTACCAACACCAGCTACCATTAAGCTGATCCTCATTCACGGCAACCACATGGGTCACAGCAGAACCGCTCTCCCCGGGGCTCTTCTGCAGTAGTCAGCCAGGCCTTTCTTCTGCCTCACGGCAGCCACACATGCATCAGCACAGAGCTCTCCACAGGGTTTCCAGTGGCTGACTTTTCAGAAGCAGACTGCCGGGCCTTGCTTCTGATGCACCTCATACGGGCAGGCTCAAAACCCCAGTCTTTGGGTTAGCGGCCGAGTGTATTAACCACTCAAGACTCCCCACCAATGCTGGACTCTAGGGATTACCCCCTCCCCTCTCCAATATTCATCCACATTTCCTCAGAGCTGCTGGGAGGGTACGTCTGGCCAGCATCCTCTCACTAACTGGGGAAAGGAGTCCAGGAAGGAGAAATTATTCCCCTTTTACAGCTGGGTAAACTAACATTCCCACAAGTAGACCAGTACAGGGGCACCAGCCAGAAACGTTCACCGAGCTCCGAAGACTCCATGTCCACTTATGCAAAGACTATTAAATAAAGGTGGGGAGAGAGGTGCTCGTGAGCCTGAGAACTTGATGCAGGGCCCCAGGTGGCGCGCAGCCAGCTCTGGACCTCGGTTTCCCCACCTGTCCGGTGACTCAGCTCTGATCACCAGGGTATTTATTACATTCCAGGACGCCACTTGGTGCCCCTGCTCTGCTATCTAGCTATCTCCTTAAGCGGATGTAGAAGACACAACCCAGTGGGCAAAGGCGGAGCCTTGCCTGAGTCAGCACACCTGGGGGTCCCCATCTCCTTGGATTAGGGGTCTTCTCCAAAAGCACCCCTCTGGCCCTAAAACCAGTTGCTGTTGAGTCGACTCTGATCTTGGTGGCCCATGTGACCTGCGCCGTGGTGTTTTCTTGACTATAATCTTTATGGAAACAGATTGCCAGGCTTTTCTTCTGTGGTGCAATTGGATGGATCTGAACCACTCAGCATTAGGTTGGTAGTAGAGAGCAAACTGCTTGATTTTTCTCTAGGTCTGGTGGTGGCTAACTCCAAATTACAAATGAAACAAAAAAGTCAAGTGACAGCAAAGGTCACAGATACACTGCTCAAGGAACATTCCCAATTCTCAGGTCAGTGCAGAACGGGCCCTGGGCGTGGCCGAGGTGGGAGCAGGAAGTGCTGCTGGTCAGTGCTGGCCATGGGCCCAACTGAACCAGACAGAGCCAGGCCAGGCCCTCCTCCCTCAAGGGGCCAAAACCAAGCTCTAGATGCCCTTTGCTTCTGCACAAAGTCAGTCTGTATCGATCCCCAAAACATAGTGAGGGGCCCAGGACAGTGCCAGGTGGGGCACAAGAAAGCTCCACTGGCAGATGGCTAATGGGCCAGGAGCTAAGGGACAGGGCCAGTACCTGAGTCTGCAGAGTGGTGGCGTCCAGGACAGTGACCCGGGGCCCACAGCTGGCCCACACTGCATCCTCCAGGCTCAGCAGGGTGCGGACAGGCCCAGGTCCCACGGTCAGGCACACAGGCGGGCTCTCCAGGTCCCACGGGACTCCTCCTGGTAGAGAGCAGGGGAACAGTCAAGATGGGGAGGGATTAGGTGTCAGGCAGGCAGGGGGCCCAGGGCTCCCCGTGCTCCGGACGCTAAGGCCAGCAGAGTCCAAGCCAGCCACAACTCCCCCTCACTCCTTCCTGTGGCTCCTCTCCCTCTTCCCAGCTGGATGGTGACCTTCCCACCTGCTTGTTATTGTTGTTTAAGTGCCACCGCCTTAGAGCCAACACGTAACTGACCTTCCAGTGGGGTTTCAGAAGCCATCAATCACAAGGGAGGAAAATGACCACCTTTTTCCTATGGATTAGCTTTGGGATTCGAACCACGAGATTTAGAGATGGCAACTCAGCTCCTTACCACTAGGCCACCAGAGCTCCCTTCTTATTTGCTTGTTATTGTTACTGTTGAACACAGTCAAGTCAGAATGGGTCCATAGCTGACCTTCCAATGGGTTTTCAGAGGCAATAAATCACATGGGAAGAGACTTTCCATCTTTCTGTCATGGAGCAGCTGGTGGATTCAAACCACGTACCTTTGCATTAGCAGTGCAATTCCTTACCACTAAGCCAAGGCTCCCACCACTCACATCCCACCCTCTCGGGGCACTTCAATGCCAATCTTCCCCTTTGTCCTTCCTCTCTCTGTTTCTCCCCATTCAGCTCTCTTTCCCTCTCTTTTAATCACTCATTCTACACACCTACTCCTTGTTAGGCCATGGGCTGGGTGCTGGAAAGAAAGAAATGAATCAGACACAACCTCTGACTTAAGGAAATCCCCACTGGGCTGAGAAACAAACCAATTAATCAGCAGTTACCGTACATCAAGTGCAAAGAGGGCCCTGGGGATTGCAGAAATGGAAGGGACTCCCGCACAGGGGGAAATCCAGGGAGGCTTATGAGAAGAGACAGCACCCACACTAGGTCCTGCCAGGGCAGTGCTGTGATGAAAGGACCCGGGGTCTTGGGCCTGGGCCGTGCTACCAACTCACTATGGACTTTGAGCCAAATTGTTCCCTCAGGGCCTCAGCTTTCCCATCTGTAAAATGGGGACAGGGGATGTTAACAAGATCGTCTGAGGACACTTCTGACACAAGAGCTTATCTAGATTGAATCTTGCCTCTTGCCTTCTCACAGGTCTTCTCCTCTACTTCAAGCCACTTCTGCTGGCTGTCCTGTGTGCTGATACTATTCTTCCTGCAGAGATGTCCCTATGGGCAGTGGGGAAGGAGGAAGCTTGGAGAGCTCCCTCCATTGTCCTAAATGTGGATTGTCCGTCCTTACCCAGCCCGGCCCACCTACACATCACTTCCCTGCCACTGAGGAGAGTCTAAGGCAGTCCTGGTGGTGCAGTGTGTTAGGTGTTGCTTGCTCTGCTCTCTCAGTGATGTGAACGGCTGCCGCTCAGGAGAAGGGCAGGTGGGCTCCTGTTCAGATTTACTGAAACCAGCAGAGGGGCTCTAGGAGTTGAAAACGACTCGCTGCAGTGGGTTTTTGCTTTGAGGAGTCCTCACTGCAGCAGTACTTCCTCTGGACTCAATGCCACATCCTGCCCCGCCGACATGCCAGGTGGGAGGATGAAGCTGAGGCGGCAGCTAGGGCCCAGCCTGGGGCAGCCTGGGCTGGGGCATTCCTGGAGGGACAGCAGAGGGCTGCAGCCTGGGGAGAAGAGAGCCAGACACTAGCGTCTCAGTGCCCCTCAACCCCGCCCACACTCCCATTGGGTCTCTGGAAAGAGAGCAAAGCAGTGCAATTACAGACCCTTCTCCCTAAGCCAGGTGCTGGGCCCGGGCTGACACAGTAGGACTGGGAGCCTGGGCAGACACGGTGGGGCCGAGTTCTGGGGCCGACAATGATGGAAGTGGGGGCATGGGCTGGCACTGGGGCTTGGACGCCTGGGCTCAAGAGGTGGGCTTGGGTGCCCAGGCTGACACAATAGAGTTGGGTCCCTAGGCTGACATGATGGGAGTGGGTACCTGGACTGGCATGGTGTGGGTGGGTGCCTGGGCTGGCATGGTGGGAGTGGGTGCCTGGCCTGGCATGGTGGGGGCAGGTCCCTGGGCTGGTATGGTGGGGGGTGAGTCCCTTGGCTGGCATGATGAGGCTGGGTCCCTGGGCTGGCATGGTGGGAGTGGGGGCCTGGCCTGGCATGGTTGTGGCAGGTGCCTGGGCTGGTATGGTGGGGGCAGTGCCTGGGCTGGTATGGTGGGGGCAGTGCCTGGGCTGGTATGGTGGGAGCGGTCCCTGGGCTGGTATGGTGGGGGCAGTGCCTGGGCTGGTATGGTGGGGGCGGTGCCTAGGCTGGCATGGTGGGAGTGAATGCCTGGCCTGGCATGGTGGGGGCAGTGCCTGGGCTGGCAAGACAGGACCAGGCTATCCCTGAGTTGGTGGAGGGAGTGTGATGGAAGCCCCCACCCGGCATGTGAGGAGGCCCACAAGATTAAGTCAGATCCTCACCCTGACTCCAGGCAGGTTCCCAGATACCCTCTCTCCCTACCCTCCCTACTTACAAATTAGCTTCTCCTCTCAAACTTCCATCCCTTAAAATTGGCAGCCTCCTAGTTTGACTAAGACCTGGGGAATAGGAGCACCCCTTTCCAGAAAAAAAATAATTTAAAAAACCTTTTAAAACTGCTTATTCCAGCCCACAGGCAGGAGCAGGCAGGAAGTGGACGGGGCCAGAATACTGACTATGGTTTCTGAACTTTTGCCTGACCTTCAGCTTCACTTCTCCGTACCTCAGTGTCCTCATCTGTACAATGGGCATGAGAACCCTGCCTGCACTACACCAGAAACTGCAAAGATAAGCACACCGAAGACCTTTAACACAGTGCTAGTACGGGTGCCGGGAGGTGATGGTTACTGCTACAGATGGTGGTGTGGCAGGCACTCTTCTCCTTGGCAAGCTCAATGCCCACATGCTTATGTAGCTAAAATATCAACATGCCTGCTTTATTACAGAAAACGGAGACACAGAGAGTTTAAACAACAGCCCGAATCACACAGCTACAAAGAACTGGGTGCTCATTAGCTCTTATTGTTAGATATCGTTAGCACAAGGGGCTGTGGAAGCAGGTGCTAACGCCACTTGACTAGAGTGACTACAGACCCAAGGAGCAAGAAGCTGGTGCTCAGGGCCCGCCAGCCAGGACTCAAATTCAGCTCTGGCCGCCTCGGGTCCAAGCCTCCTTCCCCAAACTCTCCTATCTACTCAGTCTCCAAAGGTCGCTGGGGCTGAGCAGCGGCAACAAGAAGGGAGGCAGCCGGAGATGCTGACCTCCACCAAGACTCCAGGACCAAAAAAAGCAAGGCTTTGGGCTCCCCCTAGTGGCCAGAAGAGAGCAGTGCTTTGAAGCTAGAGATCCGTCCAATAAAGTGGGAGCTGCTACTGGAAGGCAACAGCTGGGGGTGCTGAAGTCATGCCCCCCAAAACTAGGAAATGAGAACTGTGCTCCGTCGTAACAGAATTTGCCGCTCCACGAGTCGTGGCACCCTCTAGGCTGACCCTTGGTGGAGCAGAGGATGGCTGTGGCTGCCTGACGCGTGGGGTGAAGATGCCCCAGGATCACATGGACACAAACAACTCCTGTTTGCTGCAAGCTTCACACTGCCCTGCAGGAAATATAGGGTGTAGTGTCCCTGTGGAGAGATCCGAACCACAGGCTTCCCCTGCTGGGACACAGTTCTTCATCTCGCCATAAGGAGACTCTAGAATGAACACTATCCTCTAAACTCCTTCCAGGCCTCACACGCTATCACATTAAGATTTTACATATAATCAGTGTAGGTCCAGGACACGACTAGAACAGGGCTCCATCCTTTCTACCCGATCCTTGCCCCCAATGGCTCAAGGTAAACACCCACGTGTTCTAAAACACGCATACGCACTCTCATACACACAATGATCTGCTCTGTGACAGCCCATCTGTCTGGCCCAGCACCAGCTTTCCACCACACAAATGGAAACGTAGGTCTGGTTCCCAAAAGGCACCTCGGAAGGTTTGAGCACCTCCTGCATTCCCCCCACTTCTCCTGGCTGGTCCCCTCAGGGGTTAGATCCAGGCAGAGTGAGAGGGTGAGAGTCATCAAGCCCCAGCGGAGGACAATCCCTGCTGGCAAGTAATAGTAAGAGTAACAGTAATGACAACAACCAGGGTAACAAGTCCTGTCACTGCGCCCCGCTCTCCGGCTCTAAGTTCTAGTGTGCACTGCAGCTCTGTCCTTCTCGGTGAGGCAAGGTCCTTCAGAGGACACTGAGACTCAGAGCTCTCATAGCAGGGGCTCAGCGCCTGCAGCCTGGCCCAGCTCAGCCCCTCAACCACTCCACCATCTGTGTCCTTGAAGGGCTGACCCTGGGCCACATCCCCACAGCCCACTAAGGCCTGGGGATGCTTCTGTGCCTGCCCAGATGCCAGGAAATGACGGAGGAGATCCCTAACCTGGGACCAAACAGGCTATCAGGGCCTAACTCCACTCTGGGTCCCCAGTACAAGGCTCAGTGACCACCACTTCCTGGGTGCTCTCAGTACATGCTTGTTGAATAAATGAATGAATGAATGAATGAATGAATGAATGAAGAGATAAGCAGAGGCTCTTGGGAGGAGTTCAGTGATTGCCATACCCACAATGCTTTTAGACTCTTTTGCCGTCTGTCTGCTGGATGAAGAACCCCCATTTATGGCATTTCCCAGCTCTGACAGTCTGTGGGCCCATGGGGCCTGGTGATCATGGACTCTTACAGAGGTTGCTCTGCAGGCCCTCCAGGACTAGGTGAGCCCAGCGTTCTACCTTTGTGCTTAATATTTCTCTCCTCCCCTTTTATGATGAGCTAAAGTGTGGGCCAAGAATGCCAATTTAGACAGGGCTTGATCTCAGCCAAAACTACTAGTAGGAATAAACATTTACCGAGTTCTTGGATACTGCAAATGGTTAAACACTAGCTGTAGAGTTGCTGGTTTGAATCCACCCAGAGGCACCTCGGAAGACGGGCCTGGCAATCTGCTGCTAAAAGATCCCAGACTGGAGGACTTTATGGAGAATGGCTGGACTGTGACAGAGTCAGGATGATTCAGAATTCACCCATTTGCTGCTGGATCCGTCACTGACCCTCCAGGCCACCAGGGGGGCAGCAGAGCTGAGCTGTGTTTGTGTCAGGCCGTGTGCCCCAAGAGCAGCTCTGAAAAAGGCTCCTACCTACCAGGCCCGAGTGCAGCTGGAGGACCAGAAGGCAAGCCCTTTCACTTGGGCTGAGGTGCTGATTTCAGACCCAGCCACAACTTACCACCACTTCTGGACTCTCCATCAGGTTTCTGAGGCTGTGAATTGCAAAGGGTGGAGACTGCCCATTTTGCCACTACAGTGGCCTAACCCCGGTGAAGGTGGGAGGAGGAATCCCTCACAGTCCCACACCATGTACTAAGCTACCCCTGAGTCCAGACAGGGAGACCACCAGCCTTATCTGCACTGACCCTCCCAGCCAATCTTCGATCACCGATCACCGGGAGTGGGCTTGGTATTCAACTACCTGCTGACACCTCCTTCTGCTTCCCCACAAAACCCACCCACTGCTGTCAATCAGTTCTGACTCATGTAGTTATGTGCCACTGAGAAGCTTGCAACTCATAGCGACCCTATGTACAACAGCTCTGAACTCTGCCCTATATCTTGAGCCAATTTCATCATCTCTGACACACCTACCCCCATTGCCCCACTCAGTCAATCCATCTCATCCAGGGTCTTCCTTTCTTGTGCTGTCTCTCTACCCTTCCAAGTATAACGTCCTTCTCCAAAGACTGGTTCCTCCTGGCAACACACCCAAAGTATGTGAGATGGAGCTTCAAAATCCTTGCCTGCAAGAAGTAGCTTGGTTTCATCTTCTCCAGGACAGATCTGTTGGTTCTCTTATCAGTCCATGGTATGATAAATATTCTTCTCCAGCACAATGCAAAGGCACCAATTTTTCTTCTATCATCTTTAGTCACTGTCCAGCTCTCTAAAAGTTATTGTGGAGACCACAGCTTGGATCAGGTGCACCTTAGTCACTAGACTGACATCATTGCTCTTCAGGCCTCTGGCAAAGTCCCTGACAGCAGATTTTCCCAATACAATTCATCTTTTGATTTCCTGGCTGCTGGTACAGAGTGCTGACTGTGGAACCAAGCAAGGCAAAGCTATTAACAATCTCAATCTCCTCTCCCTCTATTATGGTGCTGCCAATCAGCCCAGCGGTAAGAATATCTTTGTTTTCTTAGTGCTGAGCTTCAATTCATATTGAAGACTGCAGTCCTTGACCTTGTACAGAAAATGCCTCAGGTCCTCCTCAGTTTCAGAAAGCAAGGTTGTGTCATCTGCATAACACAGGTTGCTGAGTTTTCCTCCAATGCTGATGCTGCATTCTTCCTCATAAGGTCCCAAATGATCTGTCCCGCATACCCTGAAAAGAGAGAGGATGCATCCCTAGTGCACTTCTTGCCTGATTTTGAACCACGTAGTGTTTCCTTGCTCTGACAAATGCTTCCTGGTGCAAGTAGAGGTTTCATGTGAGCACAACCAAGTGTTCTGGAATTCCGTTTCTTCTCAAGGTTAGCCACAATGTGTCGTGATCCACAGCCAAATGACTCTGCATAATCAATGAAACACAGAGTGATCCTCTATTGAATATCTTGTTGTTGTTGTTATGTGCCGTCGAGTCGTTTGCGACTCATAGCAACCCTATGTACAACAGCCCTAAACCCTGCTCTATCCTGTGCCAATCGCGCTGCCTCTGACACACCCATCCCGATTACCCCAGTCACTGAATCAATCCACCTCATAGAGGGTCTTCCCCTCCTGCGCCATCCCTCCACTCTACCCAGCATGATGTCCCTCTCCAAAGACCTGTCTCTCCTTACAACATGTCCAAAGTATGTCAGACGAAGCCCCAGAATCCTTGCCTCCAAGGAGCAGCCTGGTTTAACCCTCTTTAGGATGGATCTGTTTGTTTTCTTGGCAGTCCATGGTACATTCAATACTCTTCTTAGGCTGTAGATTTCAATGGGAGAAAACTGCTCATCTTTTTCCCTTGGTATAGCTGGTGGATTTGAACCGTAGACCTTTCCATTAGCAAACTGACATGTTACAAACTACACCAGGCTTTCTTCCACCTGCATGCTGACAAATCCAAGGCCCCACAGTTCTGCCTCTTGCTCTCTCCAGCTTCTGCCCAGCACAGCAGTCTCCTCTCCATTTCCTTATAGACCATGCACTCAGCTGCCTTCAGTCCTCCACACAGGCCCTTCCCTCTGCTGAAAACACGCTGTTTCCTAGCTCTCCATTTGCCTGGCCACTCCTCTTTCAGGTCTCATCTCTAGGACCCTACTCCTTGGGGAGACCTTAGCCAGATGCCGGATCCCAGGTCCAGGCAGCCCAGGCTCCCTGGTAACACCCTGTTCCTTCCCACAGCACAGTGTCGAGCTTTCTACCTTTCTGCTTGTTGACTTAAGGAATCCTCTCTACAGATGACGAACTCCATGAGTGGCAGGGTCTATCCCTCTTGTTCACCTGTGTCCAGGGTACACAGTGGATTCTCAGGAAGACGTGACAGGCAGATGTTTGCAAAGGGGGAAAGCTGGGAACCAGATCTTAGACTTGCCTCCTGGCCACATGGCCCCCAGGTCTGCATGGAGCAGCCAACACCTGGTCACCTCTGTGGCAGGACACTGCGAGCAGGTCTCAGGTACCTTGGGGGACACTGGACAACCCCTTTCCATTTAGGAAGTGGATGTGTGGACTCCCACAGTCTTCCGATTCTAATGAACTACAAGGTCCAGCCCTAGGAGGCTACAAGTCAATGGTCAGAATCAAACTCCTCCCCTCCTCTTAACCACAGGGTCCCTCACCAATGAGCCAGGAGGGGCCAGCAGTGACCCCAACAGGGGTGAGGGTGGGGGTGGGGACGCTGGCGTGGGTGGTGCCCACGGGTCCCAGCTCCATCTTCAGAGATCTCAGCCCGCGTTTACATGCACAACCACACTTGGTCTGACGGTGAGAGGAATTTTTTTTCCCCTCCCTCTTCCCCCTTTAATTAAAAACTATAAATGCCTTATCAAAAGCTAATTAAAAATACCAACACAGAGCCAAGTGGCAAAGAAATAGCTCAGTACAAATATCCGTTTATAACCCTGCAACAGGCTGTGATGACACAGCAATTAGAGCTGTATCAAGAGGGGGGAAGGAGGGAAAACCCGCAGCCACTGGCCGCAGCCGCAGCCGCCCTGCCTAGTGGACAGGGACTGCCGCCGTCCTGGCTCGGCCCTCGTCACCAGACTGGGAGGCACTGACGCTATCCGGCAAGCGGAGACATGACCACAGCACTCTGTGTGGTTTTGGCTCAGCCGAGTCACCTCCCGAGTACCGGCTGGGTTGTCTATGAAGTACGAGCAATTCCCAAGGGCTGTGGTGAGAATTCCACAAGCTAATGCACACCCATTAAGCACTTTAGGCCGTCCGTGGAAACGCAGCCGCTCAAACACCGCCGCTCTGACTTTCCAGATGTCACAGTTCATCAACAGCTCAACAAAATAAGCTCAATGCCGAGGAGTCGATTCCAACTCATCGTAACCTCACAGGACAGGGGAACTGCCCTCCTGGAAATCTTTGAGGGGCAGGTTACTGCCGCTTTCTCCCATCAAGGGACTGGGGGATTTTAACCACTGCCCTCTCAACAGCCCAACACTCAACCCTTCAACGAGAGATTGAAATGTTGCCTCTACTGAGATTTACTGCATCTCAGACTTGATTTTCACTAGGTTTTTAACTCACCAGTCCTCATTCACAGGGGACACCACCACTGTTCCCATTTTATAGGTAAGGAGATCGAGGCACAAGGAGAAGCCACACACAAGCACACAGAGCTGTCACAACCTGTGGCAGAATAGGAACCCCAATCCAGGTCTCTCTGTGCCGAGTCCTTAATCCTACCCACTGGGGTCTCAGACATCTGGCCGAGGACCCTCAGTGGTAGAATCTCATTTCAGCAGGAATTCAGGAACAGGTGTAGGACCCACGGGGGCCCGATAAGCTCTAAATCCCCCAGCCCTAAGATTCCCAATTAAATCTCTGCATCAACAATCACATCTACTCTCAGTACACATTCTAACACATGACTACCCAGCACTGCCCGTCCACACCCAGCCCCGTCCTCACCGCTGCTCCGAGGGTAGGCAGCCAGGGTCCCGTCCTGCAGGCCGGCAAACAGGTGGAAGGGGCTGTGCCGGAGACAGAGCACAGGCTGCAGGCCTGGGCTCCTGCAGGTCGCCAGGCACTGGGTCCCCGTGTCCACACTGCCGTACACCAGGATGCTGTGGGGAGAGAGCAGGGGCGTCTGTGACTAAGCGAGGGCCCCCAGTGCACTGCCCACGTGCCCTCCTGCTCAGCCAGCCTCCCCTCCCTTGGTATGGGCAGCCATTACTCCAACACCAGGAGCTCAGGCTTGTTCAAAGTGGCCTCTGCAGGAGGGAGAAGGAAGGGTGCATGGGGGTCCAGAGGCAGCAGAGCATGTGAGAGAACAGCTTTCAAGTCACAGGGACTGGAGTTCAAATCCAGAGGTAATCTTACTGCTCACTGAGCTCTCACGGCTGAGTCTCAAGTCCCCTCCTCCCAGACACTCACCTCCCAGGGCTGTTGGGAAAATCCAGTGAGATGCTCAGGAGAGGGCCTGGCACAGGGCCCTGTGTCCACACAACAGCTCTCACTGCAAACAAAGCCCTGTGCATGGACGCTAGCAGCAGCCAGGAGGTGGGGGGACAGCCCATCACAGGCTATGGGTAAACACAAGGTGGCATCTCCCTACAATGGGGTATTATTTGCTGCGGGAAGAGTGAAGCCCCGAGGCATGGTACCACGTGGATGAACTCTGGGAACGGTGTGCTGAGTGAAAGCAGCAATCATGGACTGTGGGATTTCCCTCACATGAAATATCCACCGTAGACAAGTCTATGCAGACAGAAGGTGGAGAAGAATTTTCCAGAAGCTGGGGACAGGGTGGTGGGGGAAGAGGAGTGATAGCCAATGGATATGGGGATTTTTCTAGGTTGGTAGGAATGTTCTGGAATGAGATGGTGTTGATGGATGTACAACACTAAATGTACTGGAAACCAGTGAATTTCACATTCAAAAATGGCTAGTATGGCAAATTTTGTCTCAGCTGAAAAAAAGGAAAAAAACGAGTAAAAGTGTTCACTGGACATCTCCCGGGTGGTTGGCTGCAGACGCGCGCCAGACCACACAGAGATTGAGGGGCAATAAATCGGCTCTAAGTCAATACCCGCTTGGTGTCCTTGTGATGGGGGGAGCAGCCACGTCACTGAGGGTCTGCTCTAAGGGTCTGCTCTGAGGGTCTCAGTCTGGGGCCGAGAGCAGCAGCGCACAGGGGCTCAGCACAAGCGCCCCCAGTTCAAAACGTGGTAAAGAGCACAGAAGGCGGCCAGGATGGCCACAGGCTCTGCGGAGACGCCTCACTCTGAGGTCTTCACTGTCCCCACAAGCTGGATGAATGTTGTTTCTCTGCTTACACTGGTGGGCGGCCATTGATCCTGGCCCTGCCCCGGGCTCAGTGCACACGGGCTTTTCACTGACTTGACAGCTCCAGGTGTGGTTCAAGCGGGAAGACCCCCACCCACCATCTGCTTCCAGCAGTGGTCCTGGGGACATTGTGGGCCTCCTCTCCACCCAGAGGGGAGCAAGGCAATAGTGGCAGTAATGCCAATGAGGGCTCACAGAACCATGGGGACCAGAGTGAAGCAGGGGCAGGCTGAGATTCGAGCCCAGGCCCAGGCGACACAGAGGTGTGCCTCCCCTCGGCTTACATCCTTGGAGGACGAGGAGGGGTAGGAGGAAGCCACGGTCGGCTTGAGGCAGCTTTGGAGGGTCTTGATTGGCGGCCCCTGACACTTTGGATCTCACTCACCCCGGATGCCTCTGGACACCCCGCCCTCGCCCCTCACCTGCCATCCTGCAGCCCGAGGCAGATGGTTGGGTGCACTGTGGCCGAGGGGTCGGAGGCCGTCCGGCTCTCATCTCCGTTCTCACCATCCTCCTCCCCCCCCTCCTCCTCTGGCTCTGGAATGTATTCCATGCAGAGCACAGGGGCCGCCACAGGGAAGGACTTGACGGTGCGGGGTGAGGGCCGGTTCAGGGAGAAGATGTCCACCTGGCCCCCGGCGCCTTCCTGTCCACCGCCAACCTGGGGACAGAGGCCCAGAGAGGGGTTAGTGACAGAGGTGTGGCCCCCCTCTTCCTGCCCACACACATCTTGAAGTGACTGAAGGCCACTCATCTCCAGCTGCCATGGCACCAAAGTAGCTTCCGGATCCACAGAAAATCAGGTAGGGAGCCAAGGTGGACCAGAGATCAGTCAACTTTCTACTTTCTGGTCATCAGCGTGTAATTCAACCAACCAACCAAGCGTGAGCCTCTATGCTGTCCTTTTAAAATATCCTGGCCAGCCTGTTTACTATTTTATCTCTGTGTCTAGCGCTATATGCGAGTCAGAACTGACTTACAGCTCATCTTCCAGCAGGTTGTCAGAGACTGTATATTGCACAGAAGGAGACTGTCCATCTTTCTCCCTGGGAGCAGCTGGTGAATTCAAACCACCAGTCTTCTGGTTGACAGCACAATTCTTTATCCACCAGGCCACCAGAGCTCCCTGGCATATGGTAGTCACTCAGTATTTATTTACTGAATGGCTGGGTGAATAGGCAGACAGATAGATGGGTGGAAGGGAGAAAGGAAGGAAGAGTAGATGCATAGATGAGGGGTATAGGGATGGATAGAGGGGAAACAGCGGGGGGATAGATGGATGGGTAAGTGGATGATAATACGTCTGGGCTCTATGAGAAGGAATATGGCATCAGGACTGGATATAGACTCATCAACAACCTGCATTATGAAGATGACATAACCCTACTTGCTGAAACTGACGTGGACCCAAAGCGCTTGCTGCAAGTCAAGGATTACAGCCTGAAATACGGATTGAAGCTCAACATCAAGAAAACAAAGATTCTCACCAGTGGGCTGACTAGCAGCATCATGATAGCCAGAGACTGAGATTGTTAACAGCTTCAGTTTGTTTGCCTCCACAATCCACATTCTTGGTACCAGAGCAGCCAGGAAATTAAAAGACAAATTGCATTGGGAAAATCTGCTGTCAGAGACCTCTCCAGAGTACTGAAGAGCAACGATGTTCAGTCTGGAGACTAAGGTGTGCCTGATCCAGACCTGGTCTTCACAATTACTTGCTATTCATCTGAGAGCTGGAAAATAACTAGGCATGACAGAAGAATTGATGCCTTTGAGCTCTGATGCTGGAGAAGAGTATTGAACATACCATGGACTGCTAGGAGAACAAACAGGTTCGTCCTAGAGAGGGTGAAACCAGACTGCTTCTTGGAGACAAGGATTCTGAAGCTTCATCTGACATGCTTTGAGCCTGTTGCAAAGAGGAACCAGTCCTTGGAGAGGGATGTCATGCTTGAGAGGGAAGAGGGAGCATAAGAGAGGAAGACCCTCGACGAGATGGATTGACTCAGTGACAAGAATAAAGGTGGTACCAGTGTGTCAGACAATAAGGTTGGCTCAGGATAGAGCAGGGTTCAGAGCTGGAATGTGTGGGGT